AAGTTTATATTTAGTATTGATTTCAGACTAGATTGAAAGATACCTACTTTCCTCTTGTATTGGGGTCTCTTCCCCCTCCTCTCTTTTTAAAAAGATTTATTCTTTATTATAAAAAAACATCTTTTTTTAGATTAGACTGTATTCATTTCCTTCAAAAAAGTCAATGCCACTTTTCTTAATTAAATAACTGCCCAAAATATTGAATTTCCACTGAAGGTGTTGTGAGGATTGAAATCTAAGACCAGCATTTTTTGCAGAATAGCCACTCTCAGACCTGAACCTATGTTCTTAACTTCTAAGGTTTGTAACCCTTAGGTTTTACCCTTGCACCAGAAATGGTCCATGGTTTTAGATTGTTGTCTACATATGAAGGGGACAAATACAGGCACAGAACTGCTGATATGTGTTGGGCTTATACGGTAAGACAAGATGTGTATTTGTCTTTTGCTAAATTCCAGACTTGTGTTAAATAACTGTTTTACAAGCAAGATAGAGGCCTTCATCATGGGACAGTAATACTGTTTTCAGAGAACATATACTGAACCTTTCTTCCTATGCTGTTACATTGTTGTATGCATATTATGTGTGTAGACAAGAACTCTCACCATTATTTACCTTGTGGTTCAAGGAGCTTATGAACCTGGGAATTCTGGATATAATGAAAAAAATATATGGTGAAAAAGCTATTAGCTACTTTTAAGTTATTTTCTCATTGGTTCCTTTTACATTTGATACATATATCAAATTTAAAATATTGCATTACAAAATGCAATGCAAGAGGTGTAATATATTTGCTTGTTAGTACATAATAGTAAAAAGGTAAAAGACCCACATGTCAAAATAAAAGGCAAGAGAACTTAAAATGAATAAAATGCTATTGCTAATTATCTTTGATCATTGCAGGACTGAAAATTCTTGCTCCTCATTAAAGGCTGCTTCCCCTTTAAAATTTTATTTTATTCATTTCCTTTTGTTGACCCTTAACTTCTAGTTATTAACTAGTTATTGCTTTTCTTATTCTAGTAATTAATTAGTTATTAATTATTTCTAAAACCTTTTTAAATAATTTTCTTCCGCATAATCTTTTATGAACCGTGATTTTGTTTTATATAGATGAATGCATAATTGGAGCCCGTAGATGATAACTGCATATGTCAATGTGTAAATTGTTATCCTGTATAGGGAAATGCTTGAGTGGGGCCCATTTTAATATTTGCATGTTTGAATGTGTTACTAGGTCCCGCGCATAAACTTTTAACATGTATGTAAGAGGAACTGGTAAGTATGTTTGCCAAGCGGTCTTTTGATCTTTCTAGCTTTTTGAAAAATCTTTAAAAAATTGCAACCAAACGGTCTTTGGTCTTTGAAGATCTACCTGTGAAAGATCGTCAGTCTTTTGAGGTCTTGAGCATTTTGGAAGATCTTCCTAAAAAGACTTGCCAAACACCTCTTTAGTCTTTTGGTGCATTGCTTCACGCTAGTTCAGCTTTATTACTGCTAAAGGTGGAGTAGGACATTGTGAGATAAGCATGGGGAGGAAAGAAAAGAAAGACAAGGATCATAAGGACGATGTTTGTTGGCTGTCAGTTCATGGAGGGGTTGCTGCTTTACTCCTGTGCATTGCTGTGTTTGCTTTGTTGGTGAGAGTGGCGGTTTCCATTCATCCCTATTCAGGGGCTGGAGATCCGCCCAAGTATGGGGATTATGAAGCGCAGAGGCATTGGATGGAAATCACCCTTAACACCCCTGCCAAGGAATGGTATCGTAACAGCACCATCAATGATCTAACCTATTGGGGCCTTGATTACCCTCCTCTTACTGCCTACCAGAGCTATGTCCATGGCCTCTTCCTCAGGTTCTTCCATCCTGATTCTGTTGCCCTCTTCACTTCTAGAGGCCATGAGTCCCCTATTGGGTGTGTATCACAATACTACCATTGTTTTGTTCGTTATTTTTATTTTTCTTGATTCAAAATTTTCTTTGTTGTATTTTTCCCCTTTCTGTGCAGAAAACTTCTCATGAGGTGGACAGTATTGTCTTCCGACGTGATCGTGTTTTTCCCTGCAGCTCTCTATTTCATCATTGTCTTTTACACTGGACGCCGTGACAACTGTAAAGAAGATATTGCATGGCATCTTGCAATAATTTTACTAAATCCTTGCCTCATCCTAATAGATCATGGACATTTCCAGGTTTGCAAATGTCACCACATGGAATTTCTATTATGTAGTGCTGCTCTCCAACCTTTTGTCCATAAATCACGACAAGATGCTTAGTTCACATTCTCATATTAGTTCCTTGACAGTTCAACTGCATCAGTTTGGGATTCACCATTGGAGCTGTTGCTGCTATCTTCTCTAAACATGAATTGGTAGCTTCAGTGCTATTCAGTCTTGCACTCAACCACAAACAGGTTGTATTCTCAGTAGAGTGCTTTATCTAGCACTCTCTTAGTTTTCATTTTCATTTTTTTTTTATCAATAACCATCCATTTTATTTATAGGAATTTAATATACAAGCATTCATTACCCATTTTATCTTTCCATTCATTCTTTTCTTATAAAGGTGCCCAGAAAATTTCATCTCTCTCTCCACACCCCTTTGTTTGGCTAATACATTAGCCATACTGTTTGCTCTCCTTTGTACCCATTGAAATCTCACTTCCATCTCTCTAGTCAACTATCCATTTTTTTTTAAATTCATTTCTCTACTGTCAAAGAGCTGTCTGTCTACTTAACAGCCCCTCCATCACCATGTCTGAATCTCCTTCAATAATTAGCTTGTTGAAGTTCATCATCCTTTCCCTTTGTACACTTTCCATGACAGCCATGACCTCAGCTCTTGGAGAGTCTTGTATTTCAATCAGACCTGAAAATAGATCCACTATATGATGTTCCTCATCCCTAAAAGTGATGGCCCTGGATTTCCTCTGCTACTTCCATCAAAATTAAGCTTGATGAACCCTTCCTCTGGGGGAGCCCATCAAAATTAAGTTATTATTTTCATTTCTTTGTTTAGTTACTTTTATTGGTCCGAGACTGCCTGTTTGATTTATGCTGTATGTGGTCCTAACATGTGATATTATTTTTTTCTTTTTCTTTTTTTCCAGTCATTTTGAAATCTAAGATCAACTGCTTAGAGGACTCTGATTTTGCTACTCTTAATCCTTATATGAAGTAAAAGGTCTCTCTCTAACATAATGGTTGTAGACCAACACAAACATATTGAACTTCTAGATGGCATATAAAATGCATATTTCTGCTTAAAATGAAGTCTGTGATTAAAGGACTCTCTCTAACATAATGCTTGTAGACCAACACAAGCATATTGAACTTCTAGATGGCATATAAAATGCATATTTCTGCTTAAAATGAAATCTGTGGTTAATTTAGGTTTAATCAGCTCTTTTTCCCCCTTGCAGATGAGTGCATATTTTGCCCTAGCATTCTTCAGCCATCTGTTGGGGAAGTGTCTTAGGCGTCAAAAACCATTTCTTGAGGTGTTAAAACTAGGTTTGGTTGTATTGGGAACATTTATTATTACGTGGTGGCCTTATCTGTATTCAGTGGATGCATTCATGCAGGTAAAACACTCACAAATATCTTTCCCCATCATCTGTTTATACTTCTTACTTGCTTTGGTCACAAAATTTTTTCTTGTTGGTCCCTTCCATGGAAACATGCATTTATGCATGCACAGTGCGTGTGTGAAGTTCTATTTGCTTGCTCTGATGTTTCACAACGACACCTGATCATCAATATTTCCTATGCTTGACATGACTATGTTCTTACTTCTCCTAAGGTACTTGGTTATTGAATGCAAAACCATGTGGATTATGCTCTTTCTGTTAATCCAAATTTATTTATTTTTATAAAAACCTAAATAATCTGAGTGTATTTTTCCATCTGATGGAAAGTGAAAACTAGTATCTTCTTCTTGAGGAGTTTAGAAGATTTCCATTTTGGTTGATATTTTATTTTGAGAAGAGAGGGAACTTGTACTAATGTATCAAAAAATAGAAAGAGAAAAGGAAAGGAGCCTGTATATGATCATAACCCATGTATAGATAGTACTGCCCCATGCGATGCACGGGCTGGCATTAAAAGATGCCCATTTAAAAGGGGAGTGATTACATTCAGTTTCTTTTTTTGATCAGCAACACAAAAAGATTTCATTAATTAATAGAAAAACATGATTACAACAAGAAGTTGTGAAAGGAACCAGCTATAGAAGCTGTCCCAAATCAGTACTACATTTGAGCCCAAAACATATGAGTTCTATATACACCTTGCCTTGCTAAGCTATCTGCCAAGCTATTAGCAGTCCTCCTCACCCATTTCACTCGGATTAACATGTCCTGTGATAGCCATTTGAATTTTCTGAATTCATTCCTCAAAATTACATTCAGTTTCTTAATAAAAAAACCCATTGTAAGTAGCCCCTGTTTGTTTTTTTTTTTAATTTTTAAATAAAAAACCACAAAATTCTAAAGGGTTTGGGAAGCAAAAGAGAGTAAGCTGAGGTGGACAACTACATTTTAGAATATAGTATAGATGAACAGTTTAATGGCTCCAAAGTAAACTCTGTGGTGGTAGATTACTTGGTGAGAGAGTAAGCTACGTTGGAATCTCTCTCCTGTACATGCAGCAACCTTGCCCCTCTAGACATGATTCTAGGGTATGGAGATAGAATTCAGAGGGTAAGTTCTCAACTAAATCCTTCTATGACCAGATAACTAAGCAGGATGCTTTTCCAATGAAAATGGTGTGGATCCCTACTATCCCTCCAAGACTAGCTTTCGTGGTCTGGATTGCTCTGTAGAAGAAGTGCCTAACTGTTGACAAGCTGGATAAAAGGGGAGTGAGATTAGCTAATGCAGCCTGTGCGCTCTGTTCGACTGTTCCCAGTATGAGGAAAGCAATAGTCACTTGTATCTCTACTACCTGGTTACATATGAGGTTTGGTCCTCCTTTTTAAAGACTTTTAAGCTTAGCTGGTGTTGCCCTAGAAACCTAGAGATGCTTTCTTGGAGCTAGCAGACGAAGGGCCTTAATATATTGGGTAGGCAGCTATTGCAATCTGTCTTGACTGCAATTATTTGGTTGGTTTGGAAGGAAAGGAATAATCCTATCTTTAAATCTTGGCGACTTATTCACAGAAGGCGTTACAACAGGCTTTCTCTCAGACAACTCGGTAGAGCCCATCCGTACTAAAGGGGGTGGAAAATCTGACATCCTTCTAGAAGCTCCATTCTCAAATCCAGTTAACGGTCAGGAGATTTGTAAGGACGTATCTGCGACTTATCAGAAGGAAAACGGAGACTTACTGTGGAGGGACAAACAATCGGGTATAAGAAGAGTCCACTGTATAACAAAGGAGACAGGAAGGCTTTCTCCGCAGGCCCGAGCCAAGGAGCTAATCGACACTGCCATCCCTTTTCAAGACTTGGACTCCCCTGCCTCCATTTTCAGTTTCTCGTCTCCCTCCCAGCATAACCCAGGTATTTGTGTCCTTTCAGGTTTTGCTACTAATGCTTGCTCTGTGTTCTGTGTTCCAGATACCAGTCTCAGTTCATAGCCTGCAAGCCTGTGAAGGAGGGGGAGGGGCAATTAATAGAAGTGGAGACAGAGAGGGTAAAGAGAGGGAAGATAGAAGAGAAGAGGAAGTAAATAGTACTACTGGTGAGATCATGATTGATAAAGAGGAGGAGATGGATTCTAAGAAGGAATGGGTGGAAGAGGTTCAGGTAGGAAAAAGTCAGGAGGAAGAGAGTAGAGTTGGGGACTTAGGTCAAAGAGGAGAGAAAGGGAAGGATAGACAAAAGAGAGCTGACAAGTGAAGACTCTGTGGCAGTATTTGTACAAAAGCTGGGATGTAAACTGAAAGATCCAAACGATCTGAAAGGATTCATACAAAAAAAGAGAGAAGAAGTCAAGAGTAAAAGGAGAAAAAGAAGTGAGGCTGAAAGACTAGTGAAGGATGTGGAGGGAGACAAAAGCTTCGTTGTTGTAGGGGAAAGAAGGAAAGGGAAGAAGTGAGGGTAATAGGTGCAAGGGGTGGTCAACAAATAATTATGCGGATTATTAGCTGGAATGTGAGGGGATTGGGGAGTGCAAGAAAGAGAGCAGTGATAAAAGAGGCCATCAAGAAAATAGATCCAGATGTGGTGCTGCTACAGGAAACCAAAAGAGCAGATTTTAGTTGGGTGGATTTACCTTCATGGGGATCCGTAGGGGGTGTTGTGACAATGTGGAAGAATGAGGTAGTTGTTGGGTTGGAGGAATATGGGTTGGGTTGTATCCAGATTTTCTTTCAATAAAACTCTCTTGATTATTACCAATGAAAAGAAAACATTGTCTAGATGTTGTTTGCATGGTTCCCTGTTTCTCCATTCAGTATTATCCCTTTGTTTGATCCCTATCTCACTTTTTTTTTTTCATAAATGAAAGTGATTTTATTAATTCAAATAAGGAAAGTACAGTCAGCCTAGAAGGAGGCATGAGGTGTTACTTCCCCCAAGAACTGAACCATAAGCACTAAATAAACATAAGCCTGAAACACAATTACAAGGTAGTCCAAAACAGATCTCCCCCTGACACCTGTTGCTTTGCCAGAGAATCAACCATTGCATTTGCTAATTTGCTAACCCACTAAACCCTGACTGTCATATTTTTTGTCAGCCATTTAACTTTCTTTAACAGGTCCCTGTAGCCCCAACAAGCTGTTTCTGGACTTGTTAGCCAGCCCACTACTACCTTTGGAATCCCCTCCAACTATCAAATTGTCCACACCAAGTTGATTGGCCAGCTGTATACCTTGTACCATTGCTAGTATCTCAGTCCAAATAGAATCACCAATACCCACTGGTCCTGAAAAAGACATCATGTTGCTGTCCTTATCTCGTAGGATCCCTCCTATTCCGGGTGGCCCTGGGTTACCTTGGCAACTACCATCAAAATTCAATTTTACCATTCCTTCCGGTGGGGGTGTCCATGCCGTTCTACTTGTGATTTGTTCTTTGTGGAGATTGTAGAAGCCACTGCTGCTCAATTTCTCCTTAAGTCATCAAAGGAGTAGTCTTCCAACAAGTGTAAGGATTTCAACCACGAGGCTGTCCATGTCATTATGCACTCCTTGACTTCGGCAAAGCTTCTTTCCTTTTCTTGAAATATTCTTGCGTTTCTCTCCTCCCACAATGTCCACAAGGTAGCGACTCTTATACATTTCCACATCAGTTTCCCTCTTTTTGTCATTCTCCCAAAGGTAGACGGACTGAACAATAGCTTTACTTCGGAAGGCAAGTTCCACCTGCACCCAAATAATGATGTAACCCAGTTCCAAATATTGGCAGCAAACAAACACGACATCAGTAAATGGTTACAGTATTGATCTTACCACAATAGCTTTACTCATAAAGCACCAATGAGGGGACAAACACATATAGGGCTTCTTCTTTTGCAAGTTTTCCACATTATTGATCTTACCATAATAGGCTTCCCAACAGAAAATGCTATTTTAGGAGGTATTGGCCTAGACCAGACCTCTTTAACAGGGAAGACTTGAGAGGAGGGGGTGGATCAAAGGGATTTAAAGAAAGATGAACAAGTGAAGGAGCCAACCGTGGTTAGAGACCAAACCCTTTTATCTGGGTTAGGGGGGTCCAAACACATTGAGTCTAGAAGCAACAAGAGTTCTAAAACACAAGAAGATTCATCATCCATTAACCCTCTTTGGAACCCAAAATCCCAATTTAAAGCCAAAGGGAGAACCGGGGGGGGGGAAGGAATCTCGAAATATGTTCCTTTTTAAAGAGGGAGATGGAATAGAGAGAAGGGAAACTGTCTTTTAGGGGTCTAGTGCTCACCCAAGTATCTTCCCAAAGAAGAATAGAGTTTCCAGAACAAACATTGTACCTTACAAACATGAGAAATTTGGGGAGAATGCCAACAATTGCCTTCCAGGGTGTTGTGAGCAAAGCCCTTCGGGATGCATCCCAACCTGATTCAGAACAACCATGGATACTCTTCACTACTTCATGCCACAACCTCTCTCTCTAGGGGCCATCTCCAAAGCCACTTACCTAAAAGAGCATCGTTTTTAATGACTACATTCCGTAGTCCTAGACCTCCTTTTTTGCTTTGACTTGCCACCTCCCACCTAATCAAGTGGTCTTTTTTCTCTTCCCCAGGTTCCCATAGGAAGTCCCTCATCAATTTATCTTACCTCTTTGCCTCACTTTTAGGAATTCTAAAGACTGACAGGAAGTAAATTGGCAAGTTGGCTAGAGTTGCCTTAATCAAAGTAACTCTAGCCCCCATGGAAATATGGTTTCTCTTCCAAGCTGCCAGTCTTTTTTCAAAATTTTCCACCATTGGGTTTTAAAACCTACTTTCTTTTGGATTTGCACCTAAGGGAAGTCCTAAGTAGGATTGAGGCCATTGTGACCAGGTGCAATCTAAACAAACTGCTATAGACATTGCACCCGATTGTTAGGCTAACCGGTTGGTAATAAAATTCAGTGAGTTCCTGCTGTCAACTAAAATCGAAATTTCCTGACCTAGAGTTTTACCTTTAACTCACATGGTTGAAGAGAAATTGTCCCTGTCAAGGCTTGTGAAGATATTTCCACTCTCTCTTCTTGATTCTCCTTTGTAATAGTGTGGTCTGGTGTTTCATTGTCCAGAACCAAGTCATCCCCTTCCTCTTTCTGAAGTAGATACAATTTGGGATTCTTGCAGCAATGACCTGGGCCGAACTTGTCATCACAATTGTAACAGAGTCCCTGGTCCGGCATGGCTGCATTTAAGCCGATGTCAGCTTCCTTACAGTTCAAGGGATCAGTTCAACCTCTTAATTTAATTTACTCTTTATTCTTGTAGTTTGGCAAGACTAGTGGCTACCGCCACCATGGTAGGCTGTAAAGCTTTCACGTCAATACAAATATCATCTTGAAGGCCTCTCACAAAATAGCCCTTCTCAAGCCACCCATAAACTTTTGAGGCCAATTTTTAATCTCATGTCGATAGTCTCTAAGCAATCCACTCTGGCACAACTTAGAAAGAGCTTCATCAAAACCTTTGAAGGTTTGAATGTCCCAAATCTGGTTCTTAAGGCTTTGGTGAAATTAGACCAAGTCAATTGAGGGTTCGAATGCCTATACTATTGAAACCATGAAATCACTTCACCCTCAAGGTGGATTGAGGTGACAACCACTCATTATGGCTTGGAGTTTCATTATATTCAAAATATCTTTTGGCCTTGAAAACCCAAGAGATGGGATCCTCACTTGAAAAAGAAGGGAAACCCAGCTTTGCTGATTTGAAGCAGAATTGGCCTTGTTGATGTTTTGGGATGCCAATTTTCCTCATCCCCGTTGGGTACTCGGCCTCCTCGACCTAGTGGGGCTGCAGGGACAAGGGCAGGGATGGGAATTAATTGGGACACCCGACCAGGGGTGGGGAGTGTTGTCCCCGGCCCACCCCGACCTCGATTATATATATTAAATATATATGCTATATTAAAAATATAATATTATTTATGCTATTTATAATATTATTTATGTTATATATATCAAAATATATTTAAAGTATTATTTACATTTTATTATTTTCTTTATTTTAAATAAATATTTTCCCCAAAACAAACTTTTAATTAAAAAATTTGGGGATTCGGGTCCCCGATGGGGAAGCCGTCTTTGTCATGGATTGGGGATTGAAGCTAAGTTTTTTCCCCGATGCAGTACAATGAATACAGATTGCCAACCAACTTGGAGTGACTAATTTGATAGTTGAGGGAGACTCTAAGGTGATAGTGGGATGGCTGTTGGACCTGGATGCTGTTGTTTGGGGCTACAAGGATATCATCAAAAAAGTCAAATGGCTCACAAGAACCATGTTAGTTAGATTTCAGAATGCCATGGCAGTTTCTCTAGCTAAACAAGGGGCTTCAAGGGATTCTCTGTTTTTGGCTACTTTGTAACTGTAATCTGAGAAGATTTGGGTTCGGAACCACCCTTAAGGGTAGGAATACCTCATGCCTCCTCTTAGGGTGCTTGTACTTTTTCTATCTCTGTTTAATAAAATACCATTCATTCATAAAAAAAGAGAGTTACTGGTTTCTATTGAACCTTGGGAAACACCCTTTAATTCATGGTTTTTATTCAAAAAATCCATCACCTAGGTGACTTGATGAAAAGGCACTCCCTGGTACGTACCCTCACGGCCTCACCTTGGTGCCTGGAAAATTATGCTCTTTTTACATCTCATCTCTTAACGAGTAACTTCCACCCCATTTATTGCTAGCTTAAAAATGATTATCTTCCTATTCCCATTTGTTAGTGAAAAATCTGGAGTTTCATTGCCTAACTTTAATTATTTACAGCAATGTTTCTGCCTCCAACTAATTTCTTTGCTCTCAAAAGCAACTAATCAAGTCAAGTTTCACTTACTGCCATCTTGATTGTCTGTCTTTAATTCATGCCTCTTCCTGCTTCCACTCGTTTCAACTCTTCTATTTGAGATAAAATCACTTTCTTTTGTTCCTTGACTTGTCCAAATTCCCCTTTGGTCCACACCTTTAGTTTTCTTTGCAATTTCGTCCAAAATTAGAACTTTCAATCTTGCTTCTGCACCATATTTTACCCACAACAAAGGAGGAAGGAATGGGCTACATGTTTTCAAAGCAATAAGGGAAAGGGCCACTACCTGATCTAGATCGGGTAAATTGAAGGGGCTTTGATCTGATATAGGCCATGGTGATGCACAACAGGATATCCCATTCCATTGCTCCTCCTAGTCCACCAAAGTTGCTAAATTTTCTCATGCTAGTTGTAAATGGATCTGTTAAGGTTGTTTGTATTAAGAGAAGTGGGTTATGTTGAAATCCCCACCAACACACCAAACACCCTCATTAAGCCTCCTTATAGAGGATAATTTTTCCTGCAATTCCACTTGAGTATCATTTCTCATGTGGACTTTAATCCCTAACAAAAATTTCACCATTGATCATCTAATCAACAAAGGGATAATAACCTTTGGCAATGTGTGTCACATGTGTAGGAAGAGTGAGGATTCTGTCAAAAATCTTGTTATTCATTGCCAGAAAACATATGGGATTTAGGCACATTTCCTGCAACTCTTTATGCACCAAAGGGAAGTTCCAGAGGATCTTCCAAGGTTCATCTCCTATTGGAAAGTGCATAGATTCAGTACTAGAGGGAAAATCTTATGGGCTTCTCTTCCATTTGCAGTCTGCTGGTCTATATGGAAGGAAGGAAACAGTAGGATATTTGAATCAAGAAGGTTTATAATAACAGAAATCACCAGCAAAAAAAATTCTTTTCAGTTGGGTGGCGACACTCAAAAAGCCATTTGAAGAAATTAAACAGGTTCAACCTAGAGGTCAGTGGAACAGCATCATATTTTGACTTAAATTGCTGTTCTGTGCATGGGGTGATATGTATTTGATAATATTTTAATTCCCTTTCTCATGTACTCATTTTGAGGGAATCTTGCCCTCTTTCTATGAATAAAATTTCAACTTACCAAAAAAATATATTGAGAAAAAATATGTTGCCTTTTGACATGTACATGTCTTCTATATCTTATTTCTTTCCTGCTACATTGTTGCATGTTCTGGTAAAAGGTTAAATATAGAGATTTACTTTGTAGCCTTGTTAACACCACAGGTTCTCTCTCGCTTAACTCCCTTTGAGAGAGGGATATATGAGGATTATGTAGCAAACTTTTGGTGTACCACCTCAATCATCATAAAGTGGAAGAGGCTGTTCACAACGCAATTGCTGCAGCTTCTCAGTTTCAATGCAACTATTTTGGCTGCCTTGCCTTCAATGGTTCAACAGATAAGATATCCAAGCAATCAAGGATTCCTCTATGCTCTATTGAATATTTCGTTTGCATTTTACCTGTTCTCATTTCAAGGTATGAATATATTATCCTATTTTCCTCTCTCCCTATGCTATTTCTGTTCTTATTTCTTAAGGGTAAGTCTACTAACATATAATTTGATTGGTAATATGACAGTTCACGAGAAGTCCATTCTATTACCTCTTCTACCAGCAAGCCTTTTGGCTGTGGAAGAACCTCATCTTTTCGGGTGGTTGACTTACTATGCTTTGCTTTCGATGTACCCTCTTCTTCTGCGTGATCATCTTATCCTACCATATGTGTCTCTGCTTGCTCTATTTATTCTTTTTAACTATTCGCCTATCAGAAGACAAGGAAGAAAGGAGAGAGGTTTTCTCTCTGTGTGGAAAGTTCTTCTGATAACCTTGCTCCTTTCTTGCTCTCTTGTACTCCACCTAATTTACTTGATGTTGAAGCCTCCAGAGAGGTATCCCTTCCTCTTTGATGCTATGATTATGCTTCTTTGCTTCTCTCAATTTGTGTTGCTTGCTGCTTACACAAATGTAAAGCAATGGAAATTTATGAGCCACTCTACATCTATTGAAAAGGAGAAGAAAATTCTTTGATCTCTTTATTTAAAAACTAGGCATTTTTTTATTGCCTCGTGCTTCTGTTGATTTAGGGAAATGTGTCAATGATGTGAGCAAACAAAAATGGAGATACCTCTGATTATATTTGAATATGTGCACTTGAAAATAAGTACTAACAGAATGTGTTATGTGCATAATCCAATATAGCTAACATGTTGCTTGATGTTGACATATTTTGAATATGTGCACTTAATTCTTTATGGTTGAAATTATATATTTGTTGGTTGTGTCTAACTCTCTCTCTCTCTCTTTATATATATTGCTTTTTTGGCGTTTTTTTCCTTTTCCTTTTCTGTTTTTTTTTTTTGTTTTTTGTTGAGTGTTGTGCAGAAGAATTATTTTATAGAGATGGAATTTCTTGGGAGATCCAAGTTTCTGGATGTTTGAATCTCTGATTATGTCAAGCATTAAATTATGGGTCTGTTTGGTTCAAGGGAATAGGACCCTGGAATCAGATTCCAGATGTTTGGTCGACTGCAAGGTTCAAAATATCAATACGCCGGTTTAGGCGAATCGATACAGCTCTTTAGTGTTTTTTCTTTTTAAATTTTTTTTCGCAACTGGTTCAGGGGAGCTGGTTTAGGCCTCCACACCCTGAACCAGTCAGACCCCCGATACACCCATTGTAGGGGCGTTTTGGAGGGGTCCTGAAACGATACGTATCGGCCGATACAGGCTGATACGTTTTGATGCTTTGAACCTTGGTCGACCGGAATGGGAATGAATAGGTGGAATGTCATTCCCCCATATGGGGGAATGGCCAATCCCGACCCCCTCCCCTGGAATGTGATTCCCATTCCGCTACTAGTAACAGTAACAGTATTCTGATCATCAAATTCTCACTCACCGGTTCTTTTATTTAGGCGTCGGTTTTTTTGACATGTTTCTAGGGTGAACGGGATAGAAACAGTCATCGGAGAAGGGACTTAGCAGCGGTTTTCGTCTAGTGTCAATTGACACTGTTCATATACGCAGGTTAAGAAGATGACCGTTTTTCATTCTTAGGCTTCTCTGGTGAATTTTTTGATGTGTTTCTGGGGCGAACGAGATAGAAATAATCATCGGAGAAGGGACCCAGCATCGGTTTTCATCCAGTGTTGAGCAACACTATTCATATATGCGGGTTAAGAAAATGACCGTTTTTCATTCTCAGACTTCTCCGGCGGCATTTCCAACGTGTTTCTAGGGTGAACGGGAAAGAAATGGTTGCCGGAGAAGGGACCCCAGTATTGGTTTTCATTGACACTGTTCATATATGCAGGTCAAGAAGATGAGACGAATCGGGTATGGGTCGGGTTTGTATAGTCCTACTTGGTCCATTTAACTAATGTGACATGGCTTATTAATTGGAATCCGATTCTGATTTCGATTCCAGCCTCTTGATGAACCAAACAGCACCAATCGGTCTGATTCCGTTTCGTAGGGGGAATAGATCATTCAGATTCCAAGGGATTCCCATTTCAATTTGGATTCCGATTCCGATCACAAACCAAATGGACCCTATCTTCATTGAATGCTTAGAGAACTAATAGGCTTCTTATAGTATGATTGTTGGGGAAGATGGGGAAAGCATTCCTATTCCATGTGACTACTAGAAGTTGAAGCAGCTAGCAATGTTTCTAACAGGCATCAAGCAAGCTCAGATAAGAAATTAAATGCTTTATTCCTTTCCGGGTGCAAGTTGGGCTGGGACAATCTTGGCTGAATCTGATTTTGGATTTTGAGTAATTCTCCAAATTTAAATCCATTAATGTGGAGTACCTGTATATTTAATGAACATTTGATATGCTACGAATAAAATGGTTTGGTCACATGGAATGGGTTAGTGGTTGGAGCATTGGAAGATATATTAATACAGAGTGTTACTATATCTGATGGTATTTACTACTGCAAACCTTGCCATGCTTAAATCTAAGTAGTGTTTCACAAAAAAAGTAGTGATTAGACTACGGGGTTAAACCTAAGGTCCAAGGGTTGGGTTTCTGTGGCATTCCTATAAAATTGGTTGCGTTTCTTTCTCCTTTTGCAAGTGTATTATGGCAAATTGAGAGGGTTATACGATTTTCTTATACTGGGAAAGAAGTGGCATGACATGAAATTGCTTGCCAAACTAAATTTTGAACGCATATAGTAAAGTAGTAATCAGTAAGGTATGTTGGACTGAAGCTTATTTGTTTTTCTTTCAACATCCCCCCTCCCCTTCTCCGGCAGGGCTCATTAAGGTTGATATTCGGATTGGTTCTGTTTCTTTTTATCCTTCTAAAGTCAGCCGAGCCAAGTTACGTATTTCATCAATCCTTTGTAGAGACCCTTGATTCCTCCTTGGTGAGTTGGTGTAATGGTAAAATGTTGGGCTGGCAAGCATTGAATGAAAATAGGGATGGCAGCAGGGTGGTGCAGGAGGGTTTTGTAAATTGTAGACTCTACTCCTCCCTAAACCTCTCAATCCAAATTCACCTAAAACCCTTAGTGGGTTGATTTTAAGAACCCAAATCCTTCCTGTACATAAAAATGCAAAACCCCCCTTGGCCCTACGACCCTATTATTTCTGCATTCAAGGATAGGAGTGGGTTGAGTTTAGAACCCACATCTAATTTCCTTTTATTTCTTCTTATATATAAGTAATAAATAACTAATAGAACACAAACAATAAAATCTTCAATTATTTGATTAAGACAAAAAAGAAAAAACACAAACCATCAATTATCCTTAATATTTCAACACCTAATACATAACATTTACATACGGGTTGGGGAGGGTTGGGTTTAACCTAAATGCCTAGTACTGTAGCCATACTAGTGGAATCCCAAAACCCATCATTCAAGCGAAAAAACCTGCTCCATCAGGTACTAGGTAGGATAGAGAGCCATCCCTAGTTGAAAATGCAGTTTCAAGTCAGAGCAGCCACTTCTGTGCAATAAAAAAAAGGTTGAGCCGAGAAAATTGTTCTGTTTCCCTTTTGTAAAATGACAACTAATTACAATGAGATGAACTTGAATAGAAAACTCCACATGGTAAATAGGGTTCGACTATGATGCTGGAAAGACATGATACCAGAAAGTTTTATTTGTTACAATCACTCAACAGAGGTCACCAAAGCAGGAACCTATCAGGTGGGTTTTCATCAAAATAAATCGGGGGTTTTGATTGGTCAAAACCTTTCAGTTATGTGACTTATGGCTTTTTGGTATCATAGATTTTTCCATAAAAAATATTTGGTCCTTATACAGTTGGAAGACATGCATCCAAGGCATTTTATGTCTAAATTTTAGGGTTTAGAGATTTAGAGCTTAAAATTTTAGGTTTTTAGGGGTAGGATTTAGGATTTAGGGGTTAAACAGGAAAATCAAACCAGATGTGGGAGGATACTTTCGCCCGATGGATGATAGGAACCAAGTATTGCCCACTCCATGTAGGCCCCAACTCTAACAACAACCGATAACTAAAGGCTCGGCCCATAAGTAACCAACACCTGGACTCAAATAAACGAATCTGGATCTAATCCCAACTGAGTCCCAACGACCATTGTAGCTGCACGTTGGGAACATCTCGCCGTAAAGGACAAGGGAGATGTTCTCAATGTACAGCTGCAATGGCTGTTGAGGACCAGATCTGACCATGGACCACTAAATCTGACCATGCATGACTCCTCAATGACTTCAAGTCTTCAACCAACTCGCTAACAATAACAATCGAAATATGGGTACAGCTCCAGTAACGTTCTGCATGACATTTCCTACTTATAATATTTGAACTTATAATGCTCTTTAGCGTTTCAGCGACCCTGAAAACCAATACATATCAAGATACAACCATGACTCAGTGAAAATGTAATGTACAATTTTTTTTTCTCCGCAACATTGTCAGTTATGTAGGCTGTGTTTGACAAAGTCTTTTCGCATCTTCTGGGCTTCGACAAGTTTGAAAGACTGAAAATCTGTCTTTTTTCTGTCTAATTATCAGAAGCTGGAAAAATGAGAAGACACGTGTGTGGAAAGATACAAAAAGACTGGAAACGCCGAATTTTGGGAAGTTTTCTAATCTTTTTGCATGATAGATAGTTTCTAAATGCATTTTAAATGTTTGGTAGACTGAGCCATTTACCAAATAGTCTTTATTTAAAGATAAGACCCTAAAAAATCAATATGTTTTTTGGTCATCTAGGCTGTTCGAAAATCTTTCTAAAAAGATTTATTTTGTTGGTACTTGGCTCGATTTAGGTAAATTTAAGTTGGTAATCATTTTACCAGTTTTACCTAACATCACATAAAGAAACCGAAGACTTGTGAGTTCTGCTCTTAACTTTTTGAGTGATAGTTATTAATAGGTTAGTTCTGGGTATATGCATTTTGTGTCTCAAATATAGTAGGGCTAGGATTAGTTTTACATGTTCTTATTTGATCAAGAGTCAAGACCCAAACTGATTATGCATGTGCCTTTGTAGATTAGCCCATGATAAAGGTACCTTTAATGTTTTATATATGCTTTTTAAGGTTTATTGGTAATAACATAACAAGTCAAATTGTCATTCAGAGACATATGTGATATATTTTGAGCAAGGAGAAAAGAGAATTAGGTTAATTGTCTAATTACTCAGATAAAGATGGAAAGAATATGGCTGTTTAAATTCATCTAGCTGGATCTCCTTAAAGCAAAAAAATGTGTGTGAACATGTTGATGGCATGACTTCTAGTTACATCTAGATGCACATTTGAAATATATCTCATGTTTGTACGTTAAATTTATGGGGAGATATTGTTGATGTGTGGCTAGATGCCATGCTCCTAGTGTGTTCTCACACTTTTTGCTTTAAGAAAACTCTGTCTCAAATTCAATAATGTTGGTTGTATTTGAAAATCCTATTTTGAATTCGAGATTTGACATAATCGAATCGAATTCAGATAATTCGAATATCTAATTGGTTGAATTCAGATATGACCTGATTCGATTCGATAAATATTCGAATTCGACCGAATATTTAATTCTTATATATAATATATAAAATATTTAAATGTTTTGTATAATCTCCATATATATAATAATTAAATTATATACTTAATATAAATAGAATATTTATTTTATATATTTGTTAATTACCCAAAAGAATTAATTGGTCGAATTCGAATCAAATTGAATTTAAATATTAATTTTCAATATCTGCCCATATTGAATTCCAATTTGAATATTGCCTAATTCAATGCATTTACACCCCTACTCTTTATGCAATGATCAAAATATTACAATATGGATATCAGGTGTATCATATCTAATACAAACATGATTAGGGGGTTTAAAACTTTGGGATGACAAACACATCTTTATAATGCTTATAAAATAAAAAATAAAGCACATGAATATGCACTGATAGGCCTGATACCCAAACTTCTAGGTGTATCAATATTTTGATCCTTATCGTTAGTTCACGTAGGTTCCTTGTAATAGGTGAACCAATGTGTCATGCAAGGGTGAGCCCTATTTAGAGCATATGGACAGCCAAATTTTTCTAACTTCCTCATTGACAGCCCATTGACCCATTGCACATGACTTCCAAATATAGAAATTAAGCGTATCGTAATTACATCTCGCAAAGGACAGAAATGAACGCATCTTATAAATCCTACAATCAAGACTGCATATGGATCGGATTTAATCTAATGTGAATTCAAATCCAAAATTTGGATATAGCAAAACATATGATGCATCGATTGCATTTATTTAAATTCTTTGAATATTTATTTAGTCAATAATTAGATTGAATAAGATTTGAGTAGGGCTGCAAAATATATCCAATTGTCTGAATTTGAATTTGAATTTGATTTGGCTCATTAAGGCTAATTTGAATATTCCCTATTCAATAATACAATTCAGTTTAATTTAAATATATGTGTTCATATATACTTACAATTCATTTTATTAAATTGTCATAGGTTCAAGCTTCATACAAGTACCTTTTAATTCATTTTATTCATAATGTTTAACATTAAAATCATATTAAGTTCATTTTATTAATAACATATAATATTTTGATCATTTTTGTTCTAACTTATTTATACTATTTAATATCTTATTGCAATCCAAATTCAATTTGAATCCACCATATTGAAATTCAAATATAAATGAATCAAATTTGGATATACTTATATTGAACCGGGTTATGGATTTTTGGGTATCATTGACAAGTCTAATCTGACACAATACAAGGAGGGGCTATATATGTCATAGGTGGGGGTTTTACAAAATAAAATAAAAAATCAAAATAAAAATTTGGGATTTTAAGTGTTCAGGCCACTCAGAATTGGAGAATTACATCCCAGGCCTAGTTTACATATAGCCCCCTTGTAAACAGCATCCCCTCTGTGTATTTGGCATCATTCCTCCCTCCAGATTCACCCCAACTGTACGGTGGGGTCATGAATTGTATAGGTGGAGGAAACCGTAAAAACCCCTAAAAATTTTTGAGGTGGGGTAAAGCCTAACTTTCACTTCAACATTTTATTAATAATTTAATAATAATGAATTATGTGACCAAGAAGAAAAACAAAATAATTACTTGTTAATAATTAATTATTAAATAAAAATAATTATTTTGTTTTTATTCTTAGTCAGATGCTAATAGGTGGGAATTTTAAGTGGGACCCACCTGTTATTTTCCTCTTGAAATTACTTAAGTTGAAAGAGCATGTTATTTTTCTCATTTTCTGTTTTATTAATAGTTTATTATTAAATAAAAATAATTATTTCTGTTTTTATTCTTGGTCACATTTGCATAGATAGGAATTTTATGCATGATCCATGTACAAATTTTCAATTAATTCATTTGAATTGGACAATGACACATTAGTTGGCCTTATTACTTTATTATTTACCTTAGATATGCGCGAGATTTATTCAAGTCTGATTTTTTTGGTAAATTGTTTAAACCTGCCCTTAAGTTTTTGGTTGTTGCTGAAACCTCCCTTACAGTTTGGTAATTGTAATACCTCCCCTGAACTTTTTGACATAGTTACAAGTAGATTCCCTTTGCTAGAATCTTATAAAAAGATGTATGAAAATGTCCAAAATATGAAAATATCCATGCAGTTACTTCTAGCAAAAACGTTTGTTTTCCAAATTTTCTCTTCATATAAATTACTACCCCAAATCCTTCCAATTTATTTTTTGAAATCGATTTATTTTCCAAATTTTCCCTTTATATCAATCACTCAAAGGTAAAGCTACAACTTTAAATTCTCTTTGTTTTTATTGTTCATAAAGTTTGTATTGTTTTTTTCTTTTTTAATTAAAAACCAATCTCAATAGTAACTGCATGGGTATAAGAAAGTTGGGGAGGTTTCAGCAATTCACGCATTTTTGTTGGTATTCAAGTGTGAAGTGGGGTTTTGTTTTCCTGCTCTGGTTTGCCTGATGTGTAAATGGTACTGGTAGCTCATCCTTTCCCTTCTTTAGTCTTTTTGTCTCTTCTCTTTACCCTCCATGGCAGGATCCGAGTATTTTAATTGATTCGGGAGCAATCAAATATAAATCTATGTTTTACATGTTGATCAGATATTACATCACATTCGGATCTCTCGAGTCTCGAATTCTTATTTGATTGAATTCATACAATATCTAATCTGAATCTGATCTGATTAGGGGTGGTCATGAGCTATTCGAGCTTGATTCATGAAAAGTTCAATTTGACTTGGTCTAAATTGAGCTTCAAGTTGAGCTTGAACCTAATATACACGTTTTCTAATTGACTTGAGCCCAATAAAGCTTGACTGATGAGGCTCATGAGCCTAATCAAGTTTTTGCATATATATGCATATATATATATATATATACATACATACACACATAATATAAAAAAGTATATAATCAAAATATTATATATATATATATATATAAAATAGCTAATTTTTCTAACTTAATTTTTTATATATATATTTTTTTAGTAAAATATTTAACTCATAGTCGAGCTCAAACTTACAAGCTTTTTACTTGAGCCGAATTCGAATTCATTTCTAGCTTGGATCGAGCTTAAGCTCATGCGTAAACTTGATAGTTTATTGGCGCGCCAAACTCGAATAATTAGATATTCAACTCCACTCGACTTGAATCCACCCCTAAATCCGATCCATTTGCAGATATGCTTATATATTTATTTTTTGGTATTTGATGATATGCACCACACTATTAAACTCCATACCGGTCCCTCCCAGCAAGGTGCCAACCGGTTGGGTGGTACGGTCTTCATAAATGGTATGGATCTCTGGTCAAATAGCACTGAATATAATAGATTGGGATCATTCTGTGTATGCTGTGAGGTGTACAAGAACAAGATCCAACTTCCAAGTAGATCGTTGTACGGGTCCGGATCTCGATTACCCGAGATCCAGATCCGGTAATCAGATTCATTGCTCATTTCCTAATTCCTACTTAATCCCGCCACATAGGAACAGTTGCTACTGCTACTTGCTACTTGCTACGAGAGGGACGGAATGTACTTCAGAGAAGAGTATCCATACATGCATCCATGGCGAAACACAGAAGAAGAAGAGACGACATGGCCTTCGTGCTCACAAGGCCACAGATCGTCTCTGAGCCTGGAGACGTCGGAGGGTGGAAGCATTTGCCTGGTCTGCTTCTGCAATCTCATCTCCAACCCTGCCTCACCCACCGTCCACGTATCCTACGCGCTCTCCCAGCTCTCTCTGGCCATCTCCCACCCTCCCTTCCTCCAAAGCCTCCGCTCCTTTCACGCACACCTCCTCATATCTCCCCTCGTTCAGGCGCTCTCCTCCTTTGACGACGAGCAGATCGCTCGTCAGGCCATTGATCTCGTTGATAACCTCTGCGATTCTGATGATCCCTCTGTTTTTGGCGATTTCATTGCTCGGATTACTGAACGTCTTTCTTCTGCTGCTTTGTCTTGGAGCCGTCGACAGGTCTACCCGGTAAGGTTATTCATTTCTTTTAGTAATTTCTGTTTTTCATTCTGGTCAGATATTGAGTTCTTTACTTCTCAGTTTTTTCTGGACAAATTCGAAGTATTTTGCTTCATCTCGTTTTGAATTCTCTATTAAATTGGAGAAAATTTTTGCGGGCGCATAGATCTGCGTTTTCGATCGCTGCTAGTTTTCTCTGATTCGTTTTTTTTTTTCCTTTTTGAACCTTGCCGCGAAATCTGCTGTGCCCGACCTCCGACTGTAGTAATAGTATGACGACTACTGGACGGTTCTGTTACATAGTAGTTAGATTCGATTCAAACTCGACCCTTATTCGTTCAAATTCGAACCCGACCTGACCCTACAAAATGGAATTGGATTACACCCGACCAACGCCATTCCATGAATACCCAATGATGCAAATGGATCGGATCATGATCCGATTCTATTTGTCGGGTTTGAATAACCTTCTATTGGATTTTCTGATCGGATTTGGATCACCCTAATCCAATCTGATCCATATACTAAAAAAACATGTATATATTAATATATTTATTTATAAATATATTTATATTAAGTATTTTTTGTAAATTGAAAAATTCCCGATTAATATTGTGTATTTTGGTCCTCGAACTTTAAAATGCGACAACTCAGTACCTGAACTTTCAAAACGTGTCAATCCAGTACCTACCGTTAAGCTGTTAATCAGTATTAAGTAACATTTGAAACAGCTTCCAATGCCCTTCGAGTATCATCTAATTTTCTTTGTTAACTATCCAAACGTTGACAAAAAATTAACTATCTTAAATCCTTGCCTCTTTTATTCATGAAAGTTGGGGTCCAAAATGCTCACTAAGACGTGACCCCAACTTTATTGAATAGAAGAGGCAAGAATTTAGGATTGTTAATTTTTTTTGTCAACGTTTGGATGGTTGATTGGTTGATGAAGAAAATTAGATGACACTTGAAGGGCATTTGTGTCTTTTTTAAATGTCGCTTAACGACTAATTAACAGTTGGTTAACGATAGGTACTAGATTGATACGTTTTGAAAGTTCAGGTACCGAATTGTCGCATTTTAAAGTTCAGGGACCAAAGTGGCATTAGGCCCAAAGTACAGGGTATGAATTGGGAAATTTCCCAATTCCCGATTTGTACCCTATACTTTGGCTCGAGTGACAATTTGGTCCCCAAACTTTAAAATACAACAATCCAGTACCCGAACTTTCAAATGTGACAATCCAATACCTACTGATGAGGGCGGATTTGGCCCTCCAGTGAAATTGTGACACCTGGCACCTCATGCAAACCTAGTGTAGCCTCTTGACAATTGGGCAGCCCGGGAAGCTCGGGCAGCTCGGTAGAGCTTGCCACAGCTTGCCACTTACAGACAGCTCGGCATGGCTCGCCACAGGCAGCTCGGCAGAGCTCGCCACAAGCAGCTCGACATAGCTCGGGGAACTCGGTATAGCTACGGGCAGCTCGGCATAGGCAGCTCGCCACAGGCAGCTGGCCACTCCGTAGGCAACTTGCCGTCTTACGAAGAGCTCGCCACTTAGGGGCAGCTCGGCACTTATAGGTAGCTCGGCATAGGTAGCTCGGCACTTAGGGGCAGCTCGACGTATCGCAGGAAGATCTCCTACCTGACAGATCCAGAGACCTGTGCCCACGTCTCTCGCTAGGTGGCACCGTGCCTGCTAGTCCTGAGAGCTGTCCCTTGACTGGCAGAGCCGTACTCTGCAGCAACCGCCTGCACCCGCCACCTCAGCTCTGGCAGTAACGGCTGCGGCAGAGAGACAGAGGCGGTTACGCCTGACTTGACAGAGGCCGTTACGCTTGATTTGACAGGACACCACTATATAAGGACTCCGACCCCCAAAGACAAGAGGGAGAGAATGAAAAAATGTAGGTAATCCCTGTTCTCTAGCTCTCTCATTTCTCTCCAAGCTCCCTACAATCGGAATGCTAACTTAGGCATCGAAGAGTCCCCGCCGGGAAAATACCCCCGGGTCCTATGATTCAGTTCTCACAGGTTCCTCAGCTCCCGCCGCCTACAAAGAGGAGGAAAGATGGAGTTCTCACAGGTCCCTCAGCTCTCGCCACCTACAAAGGAGAGGAGATCACCTCATGCAGAGGGCAGTCGGGTTGCGCTACACCAGGGAGCTCCACCATCCCCTGAGTTACAGGCCACCTAGGAGCAGGTCAAATGACGAGTCCACCCAGGTAGCTCACTACCAGGGAGCTCATCACCAGGTAGCTCACCGCCAGGGAGCTCGTCACCAGGTAGCTCACCACCAGGGAGCTCGTCATCAAGTAGCTCATCACCAGGTAGTTCACCACTAGGGAGCTCGTCATCAAGTAGCTCACCAACAGGGAGCTCATCACTAGGTAGCTCACCACTAGGGAGCTCGTCACCAGGTAGCTCATCACCAGGGAGCTCGTCACCAGGCATCTCACCGCCAGGGAGTTCGTCATCAAGTAGCTCACCACCAGGGAGCTCGTCATCAAGTAGCTCACCACTAGGGAGCTCATCACCAGGTACCTCACCACCAGGGAGCTCGTCATCAAGTAGCTCACCACCTGGGAGCTCTTCACCAGGGAGCTCGTCATCAAGTAGCCCACCACCTGGGAGCTCTTCACTAGGTAGCTCACCACCAGGGAGCTCGTCACTAGGTAGCTCACCGCCGGGGAGCTCGTCACCAGGTAGCTCATCACCAGGGAGCTCGTCACCAAGTAGTTCACCACCAGGGAGCTCGTCACCAAGTAGCTCACCACCAGGGAGCTCCACCATCCTCTCTTGGGAGCAGGTCAAATGGCGAGGCACTTAGCCAAAAAAAAAAAATTGATACATCACAAAAAATTGGTACGTGACCAGAAACAATTACATCACTTACCATTAACTAGTTTGTTAATCAGTCGTTAAGTGACATTAGAAAGTCAAAAATTCCCTTCGGATGCCATCTTATTATCTTTATCAACCATCCAAACGTTGGCCAAAAACTGAACAGTCTCAAAACCTAGCCTCTTCTATTCAAAAAAATGTTGGTGATTGTTAGATGAATCTAGAATTTGGGACTGCTCATTTTATTGTCAATGTTTGGATGGTTGATAAAGAGAATTAGATGGCATTCTTAGGGCATTTTTGACTTTTCAAATGTCACTTAACAGCTGATTAACAAACTGGTTAACGAAAGGTAATGGATTGTCATTTTGAAAGTTTGGGTACTAAATTGTCGCATTTTAAAGTTCGGGGACCAAATTGCCACTCGAGCCAAAGTACAAGGTATTGATAAAAAATTTTCCCTTCATAAAAAGACACACACACACACACACATGCATATACATACATATACATATATATATATATATATATATATATATATATATCACCAGAAGAACTTTGATCAATCACAACTAGGGCTGCAAGTCGGGCCGGGTTAGGTCGGGTTGAGGCCAACCCTAACCCTAACCCAACCCGACCTTCAACCTGACCAACTCATAAATTCCTTCAACCCTAAACCAACCCAACTCAACCCGAAGCCAATTTTGGGTTGGGTTGGGCCCAACCCAACCTTCTTCCCTTCCCTTAAAACATTATAAATTTCTCGATTTTAGATCTTAACTCAACTTTCACTTCATATATTAATCCTATGTTTCATTAGTATTTGTTTGTTGGTGTTTTTTTTTTTTTGGTACACAATTCAGAAAAACAAGTGTTAGAAATAACTATAGTTTATTATGAGTTATGGCTTATGATAGATCTTTCTTGGGTAGCAAACAACATAGAGGAGATGAAGAATAAAATTTTCAAATAAAATAAAATAATATTATTAAGGTTTTAGTGTTTCTGATTAGGATTAAGTGAAGTGATTATCTTAAAAGAAATACATTATACTATGTGGTGGGGGCTATACAAATATCATGCATCTAAACAAATCAATGTATTTTATATATTACATATATTTATATATAACATGTACTATAGAGTCGGGTTCGGATTGGGTTGGATTGGCTAAGGGGTCAACCCTAACCCTACCTGAAGTAAAGTCGGGTTCATGAATTTCAACCCTAACCCTAATCCGAACATCAACCCAACCCAACCCAATTTTTTTGGATTGAGTTTGGGCCAAACCGGCCCAAATTGCAGCCTTCATCACAACCCCCATTGGGACTCTCGCAAATTAGTGTCTTGCAACATAGACGGAGATCTAAGAATAAGATTGATCTATGATGAGAGTATGAGATCCTGCATGATATGATATGATGATCAGTTATTACTTATTACTGTTGATTTAAGTTATGAATACGGTAATCAGGTTCGGATCACCTAGAAAGTTAGGTTCAGTATATAGCTTTAAGGTTGTAACTGTCCTCCTGACCCTTTAATGCCATTGAAACTAGGGGTGCAACTTGCGCGGGCGGACTTGATCCGAGATTGATCCAGCCCAAAATTATATATATATATATATATATATATATAACGATTCAACAGGGTTTCACATCCCACCCGGGCAAGCTACCCTTCATTTTTTGCTTGTGTGTGGAGATCGGCTTCAGTCAGTGCAAGACCCGTTCGAACACTGCTCGAACAGCCTTTACAGCCTTGCATCGAGAACATATCCATACTTCTATGCTTTATTTCATGGGGAGATATTCCGTGCAAGATTATGATGGTTGTTTGAATGGGCTTTGCACTGACTGAATCCCATTTCGTGAGTGTGTATATATACATATAATGTATAATCGCATATATATTTTCAATAAATGTAAGTACCAAGAGTTGAACCAATTGACCCAGCGGTCAAACCATTTGACCCATAAAATGATAAACATTCGGGTTTTGTGTCCAGTCCAATTCTTAAAACACTGAATTAACGGCCTAACGGGACTAGCTGTTATCTGGACAGAATTTCATACGAGGACCATCTACCATCCTCTTACCTAGTAACCTTTATACGAAACCGAACGCACTGGATTGGAAGTACGACAAATTGAAGATGTGAATCATGTGGTAATTTTTGACTGGCCGACCAACAACCCGCTTATTTTTCCGGTTTTAGAGGACAAAAGAAAGCTCAAATCCATGTTTTTATGTTTAAAGAAAAATCCTCGTCGGTCATGATTTTCCACACAAAGTTGATCAACAATGATTAATGTGCTCTCTTTCTTGTTCTGATGCAGCTACATTGCTTAGGAGTCCTTTTGAATCGTCAGACTGATAATACCTCCTGCCACATCAAAGACAAAGGAGCCCTCATCGCCAATCTAGTCACAGGTCTTCAACTGCCAAGGTGATAAAATACGCAAACTGTGAAAACAAAATTATCATCCTTTCGTCATTTTGTCTGTCGTCGATTTATTCTCTCCTGAATACAGTGAAGAGATACGCGGGGAAATCTTCTTTGTGCTTTACAAACTAGCCATACTCCAAGATGTGAGTGGTTATGGTGATGAAACTGATAATCTGTTGGCCTCCTGCCCAAAGCTCTTGTACATATCATTGGAGGCCCTCATGAAGACTCAAAGTGACGAAGTCCGCTTGAATTGTGTAGGTATGTTACTGCACTTAAATGGGTTGCAACTGTATAGGCATCTGTTCCATCAGCTAGCATTGTAGCACTACTACAATGTAGAGTCAAACTCGCCAATTGATTCAGTTCAGCAGATGCCAAGTTTTGTGTTCATAATAGCCAAAGGCTTGTGAGTTTGAACGATTGGTTGGCAAGGCAACCTACACAAAACAAACATCATATGCACTATCAGCACCAAAATACCATGGGTCTTATATGGGGTCAAATTGAAATGCTTATCTGAAACAACCTGCTGTCAAATGGACCCGAGAAATAAAGCTGTAATATCAAATTATAGTATGGCTAATGGATTAACCTGTGTGATACAATGTCATAACAGAACAAAGTAGTCAATATGCAGCTTATTTGGACACATCAGTGTTCTACATAAGACATTTCTAGGGAGAAGTCATACTGTATAATCTTGACCATCAAATTCATCAATATCCCTCAAGATGAATAAATAACAGAAACTAGGGGTGGATTTGAGCCGAGCTGAATAGTATGAAGCTCGAGCTCGAGAGCCTCATGAGCCGAGCTCTATTAGGCTCGAGCTCGGCTTGTTTCTTAATCGAGCCTGTAAATTGGGCTCGAAGCTCGGTTGAAACTGAGCTGAGCTTGAGTAGCTCATGAAGAGCTCGGCTCATGGTCACCCCTAACAGCAACCACTGCCTGAATATTGAACTGCAGCTATGGGTATGATGCAGGAGCTGAAGAGTCAAAATTGGAAATTTATATTATTTTATATATCTGTATTTTTGGACAGTAGGGGTATTTTTGTCATTTTTTCAATTTTCTGTGGGGTCCAATAATAGGGCTTGATTGTCTAGTTATGGTTTCTTTATGTTTAAAATTTCAGAGTCATTGCATAAGTAGGATTAGAGTTATTGAGTCTTCTTCAAACTGAAATAGGATATGACAGCTTAATTGAGTCCTACTAGGATTATTGAGTTTAACAGTTTAACTCCTAAGACTATTATGAGTCTAATAGTTTGATTCCTAGGATTATTATGAGTTTAGAGTCTATAAATATGTATGGACGTTTTACACAAAGGCAATGAAGTTTATTAAGTTTTCTTCAGCTTATGCTAACCATGGTGAATGATTCCCATGCCCTGGAGTGATTCTAGGCACCCTATGAGTGATTCTAGGTATTTTCTCTCTTCTTTCTCTCCCAATTTTCTCTCCTATTCCTTCAAAAAAGCCATTACAGCCATCACAGCCATAAAACTCTGATCAAGAAGACCATTCAACATTCTCTAAGGACTAGAACTGAGTTGGTCCTACATCAGGGTGCCACTAATAATTTTGATTGTCAGCACAGCACAAAATGCTGCATTCTGCTGATAATATTAGCTCAACTAACATCTTAGATGTTTACCTATCCAGCGTTGCTGACAGTACTAGCTCAAAGAGGGTATTTCGAGCATTCATTTGTGGAAGACCTAATAAGCAACCGCCATACAGAAGCAAATATCTCCAAGCAAGGTGCAGAAGTCAGAATAGATATGCCTCCTCTAATCATCTTGTTTGCTGAGGCCATCAAAGCCCCTCTTCTCTCTTCTGATCCACAAGTCCAGATTGGCACAGTAGACTTGATATTTCACTGCATGTCATGGGATTCTGATTCTTCCAAACATATCCAAGCCCTGGTTGAAGAAAGTATTGCTGACTATGTGTTTGAAATACTTAGATTGTCAGGTAAGATAGCCTTTCTCTAATAGTAACAAAATCAAAGCACTTACTAGAGTGGATTATAAGTTTGATTTCCATTTTGATGTATATATTACTCTGGTTGATGATTCACCATTTGATAGGTCAATTCTTGTTTCTAACTGAACTAATCAGATTATCATATTCATTCAATCTATGCTCTCTTTTTCATGCAATGGTCACCATCACCTTTTTGTGAATCGGAAATAATAATTAGCAAATGACAGTAATGGTCATCCAATTGGATTAAGTTTAGTGTAAATCTTGGAATGGCAATGGCCCAATATATGTGTGTACCATATATGCCAGTATCTACCTCAGATTTCTTTATGTTTTAGCAGAACTTGGAACGTTATATCCATTCTTTTGACTGCAAACTGTTATGGTCACAGACTCCTGAATATGAATTGTGTAAATGGGCAGGGTATAAAGATCCTGTCGTCATTTCCTGCCTAAGAGTTTTAGGTCTATTATCTACAGCTGAGAAAGCCTTCAAACAAAGGCTTGCAGTTGGCTTTCCAACTCTAGTTCCCATTCTGCGTTATGTAGCTGAAGTACCTTTTCATCCAGTTCAATCCCAACTACTGAAGCTTATTTGGAGCTGCATCTTTGACTGTCCTGGAATAGTATCAAGGTCACAACTAGAGGAGCTGGTTCTGGTCTTAACAGGGATGTTCAAAAGACATACCAGTGGGGAGATGGGCATGCTTCCTGAAGTTTTCACCATGGCCTGCTCAATATTTGTAGCTCTCCTGAAATCGCCATCATCTCATAGCATTCCAACTCTAAGAACATCACTGCAAGAAGCAATGACCAATGCAATTCTATCTTGTCTCTGTGTCCCCCCTAGACACCCCAATGAACTTATTGTATACTCCCTCTATCTTCTGAAAGAAATATATGCATACAGTCATGAAGATAACTTGGTAATAGACATGAACAATATGGAGTTGGGTAACAATGTTATAGAACTATGTAAAGCCCATATTTTACCTTGGCTTGTAAAGGTTGTTGATGGAGTAGAAGAGGAAATCATTCTGGGAGTACTGGAAACTTTTCACTTGATACTGCTTCAGGAATCTGATGTCCATTGTAAGAAGTTTGCAGAGAGTCTAGCATCCTCATCTTGGTTCAGCTTATCCTTCGGATGCTTAGGTTTATTTCCAACAGAGAATATGAAATGGAGAGTGTATCTGATGCTCAGTTCAATCATAGATAGGGTTTTGGGACATGAGTGTGGACAACCCATCAGAGACGCTGCCTCATATATGCCATCAGATCCTCTGGATTTGCTGTTTCTGCTTGGGCAAAAAAGCTCCCATGATTTGAATTTGATATCTTGTCAATCTGCAGTGCTATCTATACTATATGCCAGTTCTTTATATGATGAAAGGTATTGAACCTTGAAAACCTTCTCTTGCTCCACTTGCTTTGTAGTTTTCTACATCCATAACTCTTTAAAGAAGTACTTTTATTATCTTTTCCCCCCAGACTTGCAGATGATAAGCAGGTTTTGGCTTCATTAGAACAATATGTTCTTCTCAACAGCAGCAATTTCCTGGATGGAATTATTGATTCTGTGACAATGATGCAACTGGTGCACCTATACAGCCTATTCAGGGGTATTGCCAAGATTAGCTACCAAATCCCTTATAGTCCAGAAGCTGAGAAACTTCTCTTGCATCTAGTAGTTGAAAAAGAGTGCAATATCCTTTGTTGGAGAATTCATCCAAGAGGGCTGAAATGGCTTTTTCAACAAGAAGGTATCATAGGGCATTTGTCACATGAGATCCTGAGCTTTTGCAGATCCAATGGCACAAAAGGGACCAACATTATCAACCATGGGACTAAAATTCAGATGATAGAAGTAGAAGACATTGCAAAGCTAGTACAAGCAGATGATAACCATGGAGCCATACTTTTGGTATCTCTACTGAAACATCTCCAGGAGGAAGGTGAGGAGGATGACATCACTTCTGTGGTGAATTTCATTGTAAAAATTATCAATATTTTTCCAGCCTCTTCAGATCAATTATGCTTGCATGGCATTGGCAATGCAATCCACAGTTTGTATTGTTATTCGACCTATTGTTCTTTACCATGTAACTTCATTACCTGCTCAATTCTGGTTTTCAACATTCTATGTTCAGTGCAGCCTAAAACGCTATTTGATGACGAAGTTTGGTTCCCTGTGGCTATTAAGGTAACTTATTTGCACTTATTTCAGCCCAGTTTGGCAGTAGCTTCAAGAAACTAATCGGACCAACCATCTTGTGTTGTAGTTGCTGGAATTTTTGATTCCTACAATAATTGCAGATACATGCAACCATGAAGGGCTCCTAGTACTGGGGATTTTTTCTTTAATCTTGCACCATCACTCCACCAACGGAGTACTCCCAGATGCTTCGAAAGCCATACTCCTTAATACTTCCTTGGCCTCTAAAATTAACAATGCAATCTGTGCAGCCTGTTCGAAAGGGTATGCTTTAGTTGAACATGATGCCGAAACTGTCACAGGAGAAACTCTAATATTTGTCCTTTTACTGAACTTTTTCTCTTTGAGAAGGTCAGTGCTTCACATTTGAAACACCAAATGCATTGCCCATCCTTTTAAGAACTAATACTTCTTTCCTTCAGTTTGCATGCTCTTCTACCAGAGAACCTGGACTGGCTAAGTTTTCTTCAGTCATCACCCAATGGGATCCAGCCGCTATCCTTTATCTGCATTTGCTGTCATGACTTATGCAGGCTGATGCATTTTGGTTCTCCTCCAGTCAAGCTGGTTGCTTCACATTGTTTGTTGGAAATGATGACCACAATTACTGACCAGAGACATAACAAACATGATGAGTTAAAATGTTCTATGGGGTACTTAAAATCTGTGATGTCTGTATTGGAAGGCCTGGTTTTCAACTCTGATACTAGAGTTGCCATGAACAGTGCACTCTGTTTATCCATGATCTTGGGTTGGGAGAAGCTGGGCATGCAGGAGGCAAGTGTGGTTAGAGATGGCAAGTGGTGCAGGCTGGTTGTCGAGGAGCTTGTATTGTCATTGACAGCTCCAGGTTTGGCATCAACGTCCTTCAGAAACTATCATAAACCTGCATCTAAAATAGCAATTGCGCTGCTAAGATTGGACCAGGTGCCCAAGTGGATGCCATCTGTCTTTGATCATTCCTGCATATCTGGTATAATTAAGAACCTTTCAGCTAGCAATGTAAGTGCAGAGATGGCAAGGTTATTTCGGGAACTACTGATCCATGACTACCTGAATGCAGAGCAGATTTTGGGTCTCAATGGTGTCTTCCAGGTGAGGAATCTTCAGTCTATTTCATGACATTTAGTTTCTTATACTTCAATACATGGCCACCAGCTTTCAAGGATCTTTAGCAGGCAAATGAAACCAAAAAGCTTTCACTTATTCATTTTCACAAGTGCTATGATTTTATTCTTTCCATTTTGGAATCTTTGTAGTGTTCTGTCCTCAGTTTCTATTTTCTTCATTAATTGTAATTACAACGCAATCCAGCTGTGAATCCCTTTGTATAGGCTTCAGAATCCTGTCAGAATATCTAACACCTGACAACATGGAAGAGAGATTTATAATGACTGACCCCAATGTAATCCAAATTCATCTTCTTGCAAAATTGCAGGCATGTAGGAAACATGTGTATAAAGACAACTATCAAAAGTGCAACACAGAAGAGCATCTTGAGAAGGTTGTTGCTATTCCAGATGACTTAAGCAAGATAAGTGAGTTCCTCCTCCACCTCATATCATCTGACTGCACTGAACATGTGGCTTCCGGGGGAGTCCAAACCAGTGATAAGAAGTTGCTGGAAGAAATAGAAATGTTTTTCCAGGAATCCTCCGCAAGAGAATGATGGCAAAGAAAATGTAATCAGGTTGCTTTGCATCCTGGCTCAGGTTTCTTCCATATGCAATCTGGGGTTATTAGGAAACATGAGATTTCTTAAAGCACTCAAGTAAGTTGGTATTTAGTTGAAATGTCAGCTAAACCCAATAGTTCTTTACCAAATATCATTGTTACTTGGTGCTAGTTTTGCCAGGAAACGTTGTTTTGAATTCTCACATAGAACATATTACCATGATTCTGTTACTTTATATGCATCCAACAAAGTTACTCGAGATTCTTTCTATTTTCTAGTTTATATTTTTGTAAAAATGTCTATCTTCATCATGCTTAACAAGGCAAGCGGCAGGACCTTTTTTTTTGAAGGTAAAGTATTGTATTGCAAAAGAAACACATGTACAATGAGAACCTGTACATTGGGAAGATTGTCAGGAAACATTCTTTTGAATTCTCACATAGAATATGTTACCATGATTCTGTTACTCGATATGCATCCAACAAAGTTACTTGAGATTCTTTCTATTTTCTAGTTTATGTTTTTGTTAAAATGTCTATCTTCATCATGCTTAACAAGGCAAGCGGCAGGACCTTTTTTTTTTTAAGTATTGTATTGCAAAAGAAACCCATGTACAATGAGAACTTGTACATTGGGAAGATTGTCAAAAATCCGGCTGTTCCTTTCCTTCCACAAGGCCCATAGGATAGCAGCTAGAAAAATCCTCCAAAGCAGCTTGCCTCTTAATTAAATCCCTCGAGGGTCCACTCCTGAAGAAGTTGGAGGACTGAAGCAGGTGGTTAAGAAGAAACACCAAAACAGGATAGAGCCATTTCCCAAAGCTTCTAAGAGAAGTTGCAGTGCATAAAAATGTGATTAGAGGATTCGGGAACCTCATTGCAGAAAGGACAGCAGAAACTAGGAAGCTGCACCCCCTTTCTGAGCACAGCCAATCTGCAGTTAGGCACTTATCAAGTGCTGCAGTCTAAACCAGGAAGACAACTTTTGAAGATGCATGGGATTTCCAGATTATAACCCAAGGGAAGCTTCCATCCTCACCGGCCACAGCCACAAGTAGAAGGACTGAGAGGAGAAAGTGTCAGAGGCCTCCCAAGACCAAATTCTTTCATCATCTGACTGTGGGTTGGGCTTGAAACCATGAATATGACTTAGAAGATCTGTAAGTGGATCAATTTCCCAGTCATTAAGATTTCTTCTAAAAGTAGGGCCCCAAATAATCTCATCATTCATCAATTCAAAGCAATCTTCAACCACACCATCTTTATCCTGTGCAATATCAAAGAGAGTGGGGAACCTTTCATTTAAAGCAATGTCTCCACACCATTTGTCAAGCCAGAACTTTTAGTAATTACCCTCGCCAACCTTGCATTTAATCCCCTTCAAGAAGTCAGGAAGGATAGAAACAGCATTACTCCACAAGGCACATCCCCTTGGAAGAAGGTCAGGACCCGAGCCCCACCCCAGATTTGTGAGCCCATACTTATCTGCAATGATTCTTCTCCAGAGGGCTGTTCCTCTCTTTGCTGAATCTCCAACACCATTTACCAAGAAGAGCCTTGTTAACAGCTTTAATATTTCTGATACCTAAACCACCAGTTCTCCTTGATTTGCACACATATTTCCAGCTCATAAGAAGAGCCTGATTTTCTTCTCTAAAGCTTAGCAACGCTTGCAAGAATCTGAAATAATGACAGATAATAGATTGGGAGTGAAGACAAGACACTCTTAATTAGAGTGAGCTTACCTTCTTTTGATAAGCAACAGGATCTGTTTTAGTTCCTAGGATACAAGAATTTCTTCCACTGTGTTTCAACACAGAAACAATTAGATCTTTGTAACTCCAGATTTTCTTTTGTCTATCTTTTGGTTCAAGAGAGGAGTACATCTCTTCACAGCTTCTAAGGAAATGCCCTTTTCCAAAAGCTGTAAGAACCAGAGGATCGGTGTCCATTTCTACAGCCTCCTGCAGTAACCCTATCTTTCTCCATACTTTTAAAGCTATGGTCCCATCAAAGCCAATTGCTTCAGCATCAAAGAAGACTCCAATAGTTACTATATCAGGTTTCACACATCGAGTTTGAATTTCATGTAATAACATATTCAGGTGTCTCAAATCCTTCATTTTCAAATAAGCCAGTGCTATGATGTTTGCAACTGTCACATTCCATGAAGACTTTTCTGCTGCCATTTCTTGGATGATGTGATTCATGCCTTTCCGGCTTAAAAGACAAGCCTGAGATAGAAGCCGAATACACCAAACAAGATCACTCACCCCCATTCTTGAGGCAAAGTCAAGTCCTAAGTCCTCCAACCGTGAGTACATGTAATTCTTGATATAAACTTTAGCCAGTTTCCTAACTAAATCCCCCTTTAAAGGGATCTTTGAGTAAAGAACCCTTCGATAAGTCTTCTCCATCTTCTGAAGAATCCCCAGGTTTGCATAACCTTCTAGCATTGCAACTAAAGTAGAAGCTTGCAAACCCATACGCTTTGAAAGGAGAGTCTTATACACTCTTTCCATTCTTTTTAGCAACCCACCTCTGGCAAACTCTGCAATCAATAAATTATAAGTAATATGATCAGGAAAACAGCCCTCTGACTCCATTTTCTTCACGCACTTACTCATCTCATCATACATTCTGTAAGTACCATAAGCTTGAATAAGCCCATTGTAAGTTTTAATTTCTGGCTTCAAATTGATCCCTGCCATCTCCTTAAAATAACATAACGCATCTTCAAACTCTCCCTTTTGAGCAAACCCATGAATCATGCAATTGTAGATACCCAAAGTCGGGATAAAACCGCTGCTCTTCATATCTTGAAGCAATATTGTTGCTTCATCCATCAGACCAGCTCCAGTTAACAAGTATATAATCTTCTCATAATTAAGCACATTAATTCTGAACTTCTGAATGTTCTTCCACACATTGAATACCTATCAATTCAATTTCAAGATCAATGAAGAATTTGTACTTGGGGAAAGATCCAAAAGCCAAGTATTAAACAAGAAACAAGAGCAAAACAAGTACCTGGAGAACCTCTCTGAAACGAGAGGTTTCTTTGAGGAACCTCACTACCGCCCAGAACTGGTCTGTAGTCCAATCTCCTTCATTTTTGAGGATTTGAAGAAGGTTTGAGTCATTTCTGCGGACCTTTCCGAGCAGGTCCTTGAGTTTCTGGTTTTCATGGAAGGTCTCTACCAGGAGGGTTGTGTGCTTTGTTGAGTTCGTCTGTGGGCTTGCCTGGTGATAATGGGATTTTAAGTTCAGAACTGAAGAAGATATAGATGAGGAAGAAGGAAAATAAACTGGGGATTTGAAATATTTGATATTTAGGGTTTTGGAGAGGGTGTTTGGTCTCCATTTCAAGCCAGTTGTGAGGAAATCAACAGAAAGAAGGGTGACACTCATGACGTTACGCAAGCCGGTTACAGTCTCTATAATGCCAATTTCTACTCTAGCTAGCTCTCAAATAGTTTGCCAATTTTTAGTTTTCTCAACGAAATCAGATTTTGGTCCTTTATTTGTAGGCGGCATATCAGAGCGCGCAATGATTACTTAGCGAGGGTTTCGCATGGGCTCTCGTTCGACATGGAATGGGCTACTCACAGACCGCACCGCTCCATACGCCATAGCCGAACCCCGTGTATAATATTTTTAGGCATGTTTGGAAGTGATTATGTTAAAAATAAATGTTTAAAAACAAGTATTTATTGCACTTATTTGTATTTGACATACAATTTTTTCAATTTAAATTACCTTTATAATTTATTTAATTGATTAAGTATATCTTTACTATTTAAAACTTAATTAATATTATCTTTGCTATTTCTGACAACTACCTAAAACTTCTCCTACCATTAACATTTCGTTTAAACCGTACATATATAACATTATATGATCGTTATATTTTTCAAAAATCCTTAATATATCCTTGGTCGAAAATCCAGCACTTCAAATCCGCACAACCGCTCTTCTTGATGACCCAGCCCAGTTTCGGACCTCATCACCGACTGCTGTGTTCGAAGTTCGAACTGTAAGCACCTAACTGCGTAGTTAGGGCCTTCACGTGCAATGGATGCGTCTGAACCTAGTCGGAGTTACATGAAACGAGATATCGAGGATAACTCAGATATGAAGGGTGAAAGGATTGTAGACGAGGAAGACTGAGATGGCAGTGACAAGCGGAAGCACCGTTCTAGCAAGTCAAGAAAGCATAGCAATGCAGAAGAAACTGAAGAATGAAATAGCAGTGGCAAATGGAAGAGTTTAGGGAACAGAAATGAAAGTCAAAAAGGTCAAGTGACTCAAACAGGGCGGGTAGCGAGGATGAAGACGAATATGATACAAGAAAAAAGTAGATGAAGGAAAATCAAGTAAAAAGAATTCAAACAATGGGTATCAAGATAGAGAATCAGAAAGCAGTCAAAAGGGGAGAGATGCTTCAGGGAGCGAAGGGCATGGTCCAATTGAAGAAGGCGAGTGGATCTCCTCAAGGAAAATAAGTTCAAAACCTTCGGCTTATGAAAGTTCCCAGAGCAAAAGCAGAAGCAAGCTGGAAAATTCTCATGATGTCGAGCTTGAAAAGATGTAGGATAGAGATTCCAGTATTCTGAAAGAAATGAGAGCAGCAGGGAGAAAGGTCGTGGATCTCGCGAACAGGAGAGAAACCCAAGGAGAAGATGGGATGATTCTGAGTCAGTTAGAAAAGCAGAAGAAAGTAACTATGTAGATAAATCTGAATCAAGGAGTGGGAAGACTTCTCAACTTAAGGGTGGAGAGAGAAATACAGATGCAAGAGATGAACCTATTGACAGCAAAAGCAGGATTGTAGATTCAAACAGTGATAAGGGCAACAAATCCGGGAACAGGGAAGAGATGCAGTACCTCTTCACCGGTGACAACTGGAAGCACCTCACTGACTGAACCAAAGATGCAGCGGCGAGCCGAGGTGGGGAGCTTGCAATCGAACAAACTGAACATGGATTTTAATGTTGAGCGATCTCGCTGCTCCCTGCTGGAGGTGATCTGGCTTCTAGTAAATTGTAGACTATGTCGATCTGCAAAAGAAGAACCAGAGAACCTAGGGTTATTTGCCCGGCGAGGTCGCTTCGATGCTTAAGTCAGTATACTTGGTTGCGAGCTGAAAAGCTTTTGAGTGTAGAGAACTAAAGAGTAGAGAAATCACGCGTACCGTGGGCCATTGGGGGTAAAGCCTTTATATAGTGGAGTCCTCGTGGGTTTCGCGGAGCGGTTCCAGGATTCTCGTCATGATGAGATCTGTTTCCGCGTTAATGGGGGATAACTGATAGGGCTTATCAAATCCGCCCGAACCGGGCGGGGAGGAGATAAGGCTTATTGTTACGAGGCGTGATCCCGCAAGGCTCAGAATTTGACGGCGAGATCTTTGGGGTTGCCATGTAGTGGTCTGTCAGTATTACCCGAGATAGTGCTCTTTAGAACCGACCTGGGGTGAACGCTGAAGTGCCTTGGGACCGAGGTGGTCCTGATGCAACCTTACACTGGGGTGAACTCCCACTTACACCGAGGTGAACTCGTCCCGAGGTGGTTTGACTATCCGAACTCGATCTGTTGCAGACTTGGCATGTCGGGCTGAGCTGACATCTTACTAGTTAGGTCGTGTCCACGTGTCCCCCTATTACTAGGTTGGGCCAAATCACCCTTCATCAATAATGGGCAACTCGGCCCTCTGGTCAGCTAGGCACTTACTATGCAGCTCGGCACCTAATAGGCAGCTCAGTCCTCTAGTCAGCTCGTCACCTAATAGGCAGCTCGACCCTATGGTCAGCTTGGCACCTAATAGGCAGCTTGACACTCTGGTCAACTCGTCACCTGACCTGCCTAGCTCGGCCCAGTCAGCTTGTCACCTAACCTGCCTAGCTCGGCCCAGTCAATTCGACACCTAACCTGCCCAGTTCGGCCCTGTTAACTCGGCACCTAATCTGCCCCCAGCTCAACCTGGTCAGCTCAGCATCTAGGTCCTCATCCAGCAAAAGTTCACTTCAGCCTCTGAGTCATCGGCCACTTGGAAGTAGACCAAATGACGAGGTAGTTAGCACAAAAAAATTGATACATCACCAAAAATTGATTCATCAGATTTCTCTCTTCTTCGCCTTCTCTACAATCGAACAAACCGAACAGGGATTTCTCTCTCTTCTTTGCCTTCTCTACAATCAAACAAAACCAAACCAACTCTGCTAGGCTCTATCTTTCTCTCTCCTCTTATTCGTTTCTCTACAATCGAACAAACTGAACAGGGCTCTCTCTCCTCTTCTTCGTCTTCTATGCAATCGAACCATTGTCCCTTGTCCTAAAGTGAACCCCTATGGTGAACCAATGAAGCGAACCCGATTACTCATCGTCTTCTTTGCAATCAAATCCTCTTCTTCGTCTTCGTTTTCTTGGTCACCGCCACTGCAACTCCTAGCAGCGGCGTCGTCTTGAACCCAAGACCTTGACCTCAGAGTGACGACGTCTCTCTCTATCTCCTCCTGCTTCCTTCCCATTGTTGAAGATGCCAAATGATTACAAGTTCTTGGGTCAAGGTCAGAGCAAGAGGGGCCTGGCAACTTCCGGGGGCGTTGCGATTTTTCCGGTAGTTCTCCTTTCTTGGACACAAGTGGCTGAGACTAATTCCGATAAAGCATAGGAAACCCTAGAAGAAGAATGGAGGAGCTTCGAACACTAGTAAAGCGTCGGAAACCTAGACGAAGAATAGAGGAGCTTCGAATGGCAAAATAGACATTTCAATCCTTTTGTCAATATTTTAATGCAAATGGTAATTTTCAGAAACTGTAAGGGTAGTCTTAGTCAATTTTTAAACAGTAAGGGTATATTTAGTCAATTAACTAAACCATAGGGGTAGTTTAAGAAATTTATCCTTTTTTATTTCATGTTGGATGTTTGCTAGTCTTTTTCTCCAATAAGCACCTAAATAAGCATTTCTAACTATTTTGTCCTTCATTTTTAAATTTTTTTAAAATATACCCTTTTATTAAATTATTTTTATAAAAAACACTTTTATGAAGCACTTTTATAAAAATGCTTTACACGAAAAACACTTTTATAAAATTCAACTAGTGATAATTTTGGAAGAAAAAAAAAATGAACAAGTGCTTATTGTATAAGCACTTAAAAAAGTTGGAAATTTGGGCTTAAAAGATAAGCCCTTATTTTTCCAAATACCAATAACTGCTTAAAGGTGTAGTCACGGCCCAAATAATCACTTATTTTGAATTTTCAAATAAGCACTTATTTTTAAGCACCCCAAACATGGCCTTAGTAGGTTCATTATAATCGGGATCATCGAATTAAATCTATTGGGTTGATTGTTTTAAGAATTCATCATTTCAGTTCAAATTATAAATTTAGACCTTATTGGTCCTGATTCAGTTTCAATTTCTTAATATTTATTGTTAGATCATACCAAACCCGACCCATTGATAGCCCTATACCAATGTGTTGGATACTTGTATGTTGAATCTGGACTTGTTCACGGGCTGGGCCATGTCGGGTTTGGGTCGAGCTTTGCCTCTACACTAACAGAATATGTTCAGGCCCGAGCTCGAGCCCAACCCGACTATTGGGCCTAGGTCTTGAGCTCGAGCCTGAACTCGATTAAAAAATTAGAAATTTTTCTTTTTTTATTTAATTAAAAAATATTCTATTTATATAAAAAGACCTCATAACCTCAAAAAATAATGAAAGAGTTCACTATTACTTGAAAAAAGAAAGAATAGGTCTACTTGGATCTATTTAATCCACGTGCCTGAAATCCTATCCAAACCTGATTTAGATTGGGCCAATCCGGGCCGACCCAGCCCATCACACTACCCGGCTCATGAATAGGTCTAGTTGGATTTATTAGATAAAACATAACAAATTGAATTGATTATATTGATTTGGTTATGTAGTCTTGGGGGTGCAATTTAGATAGACTTAACTCAAGTTCATATCCATCTAATGCATGAACTGAGTTTGGATTTTCAATTCTTGGTCTAGGCTTTAGGCCCAACCCTTGGGTGGCAGAACCTGATTAGAGCAAACTGAGCTTGACCACACATGCATGCAATTTGGGTGGACTGAAGTCCATATCAATCTAGTCCAATTTTTTGGATGGACTGAGTTTGGATTTTCAATCCCTAGTCTAGGCTTGGGCCCAACACTTGGGTAGTCGGAACCTCATTAGATGCATGTAAATAAGCATGTACACATACTTAGGGATGCAATATGTATACATGCATGTAAATAGGCATGTACACATATACACGCATGTATGCATGCCTACTTAAAGATTTAAATTAATTAGTATGCGAACAAGGTTTTGCAAATTAGGGCCCACTTGAGTCCAATTGACCCATCCGATAAATTAAGTCTCCATGTAGACTCAAACACGTTAATCTTGAAGAAGTCATTATAAAACTCTTATTGTTTTCATCAACCGTTAGAGGCCAAAAATATTGTAGTTCTCCTTTAAATTGTCCCATTTAAATATTCTCTAAAAATTATTTGAACATGATAAATAGGAAGAGAAATAAAGGGAGCATACAAACATCTGGAGAA